TACCACCCAAGAGAAAATTAGGGCCAGGAAGTCTGCCACTTGATTGCATAGCAAAAATAAAATGATAAGGGACCCTTATCAGACATAATCATCCTAAACTGTTGGCATCAGTGTTCAGCAATGTGTTTAAGTCTCATTGAAAAAGAAGTAAATTTATCACAGTTTGACAGCTCACTGGACATATTTAAAAATTCTCCTGAAGCTACATGCAATCTTTACAACTGGATCACTGAAAAAGGTGGCTTGATGATTTAGCTTCCCAATGACACTTGATGGAAATATTAAGAAGACTGTGGCTTAAGTTTAGGCCCCACTGTCATAGGTAGGATGACATTTGCACTGAACATGAGGTGGCCTTTAATCAAACAAAGCACACATTTTACAGAACCAAAGACTCCACAGATAGGTATCACATTTTAAAAGACAATTGAAGGAGGCTTCAGAGAGACTTGACAGATTACATGCTGATGAGACTTCAGTTACAGTTGTGGAAATTGTCTTTATCTAATTAAGGAACACTGGAAATAAATAAGGATAAACTTGAAAAGCAATGGAAATTTTCCATTGATTTACCAACCTGATGGACTGAAAATTCAAAGGTACGCCCAGAAGATGAAGAAAAGGTTGATAATCCTGGGTAATTTCTGGTTCGTTAAGTGCTAAAAACTGAAGATCCAGATTTTTACCTCTATTCTGCTTTTGTAAGAGATTATTCCAGAGTTTATGGCATGACAATGGGGAAGGATGTCGAAATAAAATCACTTAAGTGTCTGGACAATTGACTTCAGAATGCTGTCAGTTTATAAAAGACCTGCAGTCAGCCAGTTCAGCAGCAATCAATCTTTTTTTTTAATACTGTCAGTTTGCTTTGGCTACAAATTTGTAATAGCTTAGGTGCTAAAAAAAAGCAAGCAGACCGGTAAAAATAATGTGTCACTATTGTATCTAACAGAAGATACAAAAGTATCTGAGGGATAACTAGGTAACAGGTAATAGAATGGGAACTTGACTTTGGTACTTGTTATTCTTACAGGTTACAAGAGTCTCACTTTGGACAATAGGTGTACTATTTCAAGTGTGAACACTACCATAAATGTGCTTGCAAAGTCAATCATATTATATATTTAGTGTTTAATTTAATCACCTTCTCCCTGGATTGCAACCTTGTTCTGGTGGAGAGGCTTGTGTGTCCCGATGATCCTGAGAGCAATGCCGTCTGGAAATCTTTCCTGATAGGGTCTCCCATGGTGGCAAGGTCAGAGGTGAGGTTCCAGACAAATAGCGACCCAACCTAAATAACTAGGGTAGGTGGAACTCTTTAGCCCTGGTTTGGCAGTCCATCTAAGAGCAGGATATTCTGAAACTAAACTTACAGCCTGGAAATCTATCTGCTGCCATCCTAGTTCACTAGGCCATGGTATATGAGTTTCAGGTCTAAAGAGTGGGGCCAGTCAGTGCAAACTATACTCCACTTTAAAGCTCTACACACAGGCAGGAAGGAAACAAGTCCCCCAAATCCTACAGTGCCAGGGAATGGGGCAAAAAAGGCAGGTGTAAGATGATATTGGAAGCCACAGTCCCAGTTCTGCATGTAAGCGGCTCAGGATTATGGGTTGTTCCAATGACAACCCGGAGACCATTGCAGCAGGATTTCCCTCTCTGCAGCTGGACTGCACCAGTGGGCCTGCAATCTTCCTAATATCTTCCTCTGTGAAGAACTGCCAAGAAAGAAAGAAAGAAAGAAATTACATCTTCCGGAAACGTTCAGGCTTATGAACACCACAAGAATTGGGAAGGCTTTGTCTACGCTAGGCAGTTATTGCTGCCGTAAGTTCAGCATTTGCCATAGAGAGGCTGCCTTAGTACATTTACATGTACCTGCCTTATGGCAGCTCTTATTTCCCAAGGCCAATGTGGCCCCCAGGGAAGGTGCCAACTGTACCAACTACCATAGTAGCAAACCAGAAGACTTTGGTATATCTGCACATAGTTTGTTTCAGTTGCTGGATGGTAATAGAAGCTATTTTCCACTTGGAAAGGGTCTGTTGTTCTGCTGCCACAGAGTAACCTTGAGTGTGGCTACACTTTAAGTGTGTACTTGATTTCTGACAGGAAAATTATGTATTGTAAGCCAGGTCAGAGAATCAGTTTATATTACAGTTAAAGTGATAGGACAATCCTTAAAATATAGACATTTACAAATGTGATTTTTTGAGTCTATTAGTCTGTAAGTCTAGATCTGAAGATAATGCATCACACAAGCTAAGGGCTAATGTGAAGATTAAGTATCACTGGTATTACGGTAGTACCTCAGGTCCACAGTTGGGGCTTCATTGTATTTGTTGCTGAATAAGCATACAATAAGAGGCTCTACCCCCACGTTAATTAACTAAGCTTCCAGATTTGCTATTGGATCTGTGCCCAGGCAGATCCAATTGCAAGTTGAAGGACTAAATAAAGACTAGACATAGCAGGTGGATGTTGCAGACAGTGGAGGGTGTGGTGGGAGTAGAAGACAACAATAATAGTACTGAGTACACATGGCTGTATAAGTGCATGAATAGACTGTATTTTTTTCCAAGTGGAAAACGGAAACAAAAGCATGTCATGTCAAATTATTAGCTGTAACTAGGATTTATCATGAACGTGGCTTCTATTTTGGGGGATAGTAGCTCCTTCTCAATGCCTTCTTCACTCCCATGTGATCTGAGTGATACCACCCATGGCCAAGGATCCATTTCACCAGCTTGTCACTCCTGCAGCCGAGACTGACATTTCCAGGGCAACTATTGCATTACGTTAGCTGCTACTGTGGAATCATCTGTGATTGCATCATAGCAAGGCAAAGTGCTGACCTTGTAATGCGGGTATAAAATATTCCTTACACTCTGTCCTGCTTTGAATGGCAAACAGGCTGTTTCAGGTAATGCCACATTAATGGGGGAATCTTTAGGTTCTGTGGCAGTTGTAAAAATGAGGAAAAAATGTGATATTGGCCTGTGTGTTCTGCTGCAGTTGGTCCTTAGCAGCTCACCTTACTGGCTCAGAGTTACTTTCCAGATGGAACCTCGGGAAGGACTTGAAAGCTTTTTAACTTATAAAACAATAATACTGTTTTAAACAAATCTGGGGCTTTCTTACAAGCCATTTATGTATTTTCATAGTTTAAGCTGCAAGTGTCAAGAATCAACCGCTATCCCTCCTACCAGCTTGCTCTGCTTGCTTGGTGCCGAGAAACCATATGCAGGATCATGATGGAAATTAGGGTTAATGCTCCCTGCCTACAGCAAGGGGTATCATTTTGACTGAAATCAAATTAGAACAGTCTTTGTTTAGAAATCAGCATTTTCTCCCTCCAGATGTTAAAGCAGTGGGTATGTGATAGATGTGCCATGGTTGCAACTCTGGAAAAATGGGAAAATATGGGGTTCCTCAAAGAGCATGAAGCTGCCTGTCCCCCCCACCCAGCAGTCCGGTGTGTACGGTTTAAAGGTTGTATGAATCCTAGAATTCACAAGCAGGGCTGGAGGGGACCTCCAGAGGGCATCGAGTCCAACTCCCTACCTGAAGCAGGATGACCCTTACCCAAACCATCCCATACAATCCATAATCGTAAAACTACCTTCAGCCCTGACACAACACAAGGCCCTAACACCCGAACCTGCCACAGGTAAAGCAGCCAATGTCCTGCCTCTACACGCAAGAAATCCCAGGTAGGAGGCCAGTGTTTCAGTCTGGCCAGGCCTCCTGGAAAGGCCATTGACTGGAGACACAAGACAAGACTGCTTGGTTCCCTTAGGGAAATGAGTGCAGCGTGCCTCAATTTCTCCCGTTCCCAAAGGAAATCATTGCAGCGTGCCTCAGTTTCCCTCCGTCCCAAGGGCATATGCCTCAAGTTTCTCCCTTTCCCAGTGGAAGTCACTACGGCGTGCCTCAGTTTCCCCCCTTCCCGCCCCCACGTAACACGGAGGAGAGGAAGATGTTGCCGCCTCCCCATTTCCGGGGGGCTGCTACCCTGCGCCCAGCCCAAGCCGGGGCCGGGGAGTCCGAGACGTTTCTCTGGCTGCCCTTGGCCTGTAGGGCGCCGCCGGGGGCCGAGGAGGCGGTCTCGGCGCTGGGGCGGGGCCGGGGAAGCGGAGCAGGGCCAG